AGAGAGAGAGAGAGAGAGAGAGATATTAATATATCTAGCTATATAAATATAAAAGGCCTGCGGTTGTGGCTCAGTGGTAGAGTGCTTGCCTGGCATGTGTGAGGCACTGGGTTCGATCCTCAACACAGCATAAAAATAAGTTAAAGGTATTGTGTCCATTTACAACTAAAAAAGTATATCTACATAGATATATTTTAGAACCATAGGTTAACAGAGGTTTTATTAAGCATTAATTGGTTGGACCAATTTTGTTAATAGTGTATATGGTTTTGGCCAAATAAAAACAATATGACTAGAAAAAAATACTGAATATTTTCCACAATGATTGGCATTGGTATTGGGGGAAGAAGGTTAGTTAGAGGTGAGGGTTTTGTTTTTTGGGTTTTTTACCTTTTACCAAATTTTCTTTACTATCATGTTTCCTGCCCTGTATTGCTAATTTAAAACTATATACATACACACATTTTTAAAAAAATATTTATGTTTTAGTTATAGGTGGACATAATATCTTTATTTTTATATGGTGCTGAGGATCAAATCCAGTGCCTCATGCATGCTAGGTGCTCTAACTTTGAGTCACAACCTCAGCCCTGTGCATTTTTTTTTTTTAATGAAGCCATGTAATTTAACCTAGGGAGAGAAGAGAAATTATAAAAGTACTTCTCCAAAACTGCTTACAAGAAAACATCCCAAAGTCTCCAGTTTTTGCTTTAAATTTTCTACTAATAATCAGTTTTAACTTCCAATGGCAAAAATTGATAATTGGCTCAGCCCAAAGCTCTTGTAGGAAGAACGGGAACAAGGTAGCTGTTGTTCTTACAGCCCTGAAACACGTATCTGATGATATGAAGACTCACAAGAACCCTGCCCTGAAGGCTCAGAGTGGCCCAGTACGAAGCGGTCCCAAACCATTTTCTGCACCTAAACCCCAAACCATTCCATCCTCCAAACCAGCCACAAAGGAGCCACCTCTCCTTGAACTGGAGGGCAAGAAGTGGAGAGTGGTGAGTTAAAAATACCTGGAGTAGGGGAAGGAGGAATGAGGACAGAATTCAGCCAAATAAATGCAGGGTTCTGACTTATAGTGGAAGAACAAAAGTTTGGGATAACCTCTTATTGTTGTTGGTGTGTGCTTTATGATAAGAATTCTGGAGTATCTCTTTAACAGGAAAATCAGGAGAATGTTTCCAACCTGGTGATTGATGACACAGAACTGAAACAGGTGGCTTACATATACAAGTGTGTCAACACGACATTGCAAATCAAGGGCAAAATTAACTCTATTACAGTAGGTGAGTCTTTGTAGTTGTCCTGGGCACGTTCTGTGGTATAGCCTGAGTGGGCTAGAACCTTTTTGCCTACCCTCATCCTAAAGATTCTAAAAAAATGTGTTAACTTTCTTTTAAAGTTACACTGTTGACCTGCTTCCTTTCTTCTCCTAGATAACTGTAAGAAACTCGGTCTGGTATTTGATGACGTGGTGGGCATTGTGGAGATAATCAATAGTAGGGATGTCAAAGTTCAGGTAACCTGATATTTTGGCTCCTTCTTTTGATCTCTGAGGTATTAATTGAAAGAGACAGTGGACTCATAGATATTGCCTTGGTAGGAATCTGATTCTACAAAGTCTGTAAGCTGAGCTGCTTTGGATGTAGCAGAAGAGGGTTGGCGCTTCAAGGGAGCTCTTTCCAGCATCCATCCCAATCCACCCCCAGTATCTAGTATCTGTTGTGCACCTGAGAGCTTTTCATGTAGTTGCTAAATCACACGAAACAATGAAAACTTTCCCTACACACCTTACTATTGTCTTTCCCTGCCTTCTGGGACTCAGTTCTCTTGTTTTTCTCTGCAGGTAATGGGTAAAGTGCCAACCATTTCCATTAATAAAACAGATGGCTGCCATGCTTACCTGAGCAAGAATTCTTTGGATTGTGAGATAGTCAGTGCCAAATCTTCTGAGATGAATGTCCTCATTCCTACAGAAGGCGGTGACTTTGTAAGTTTCTTGATTTCTTTAGTAGTATAATGATAAAAGCAGAAGGGACTTAATAAGACATCTTGCACTCAAAAAAAGCTATTTAAAGGACATTGGACACCAATGCAAACCAGAATAGAAGTGCACAGAAACAAGGTAGTCCCATGTAGTAGAGCTCCAAAGGAAGGTGGTTTCTGCCTTTATTTTCTTGAACTCAGGGTAGGAAAAAGAGTCCCAACACCCTATGAAGCTAGCACTATTAAAGCATTCATCTTCTTGTTTCACATAGTGTGTCTGAAGATTACAGATCACTGAACAGTATAACACAGCATGGCTGGGTGGCTTCAGTTTGTGTCACTCCATCCTACCCTGCTGTCTGGGTTAAGTGGAAGCAAGAAATGGAAAAAGTGTGAGATTTAGCTCCAGCTTGTTCTTTAGCCTAGATTTCAACCTATTATCTCTTCATTATTTGCAGAATGAGTTCCCAGTCCCTGAGCAGTTCAAGACCCTATGGAATGGGCAGAAGTTGGTCACCACAGTGACAGAAATTGCTGGATAAGCAAAGTGCCAGTGGGTTCTTTGCCCTCTCCCTTTACACCATGGGATAAATCTGTTATCAAGACGGTTCTTTTCTAGATTTCCTCTACCTTTCTGCTCTTAAACTGCTTCTCTGCTCTGAGAAGCCCAGCTACCTGCCTTCACTGAATATACCTCAGGCTGAGATTTGGGGTGGGATAGCAGGTCAGTTGATCCTCTGCAGGAAGGTGCAGCTTCTCCATATCGGTGTAGTCACACCACCAGTCCATTCTTAAGGAACTGCAGACCTGGACTGGTGCAATTTAGCTTTCAGCTTTTGGAGGTTATTCTTACAACACACAGTCCTTTGGGAGGAATAAAACAGTCCCAGGAGTTAACAGATCAGAATGTGCACACTAGTTAATTTTTTTTTTCCCCCTAACAATGAACATGGAGGTAGCAGAAGCTGGTATGATTCCTGATAGTTTTCCTAACCAAACTAATTTTTCACTGTTGACAAGTGAGGCAAGGATTGCATTGGACCAACAGCTGAGGCTTGGCCATCTAGCATTCCAAGCAAACTTTGTTTCCTTTAAGCATTCCTTTATTCTGCATTCCATCCTGGGTCTGCCTCAATCATGAGACAGTAGGTTCTCCAGTCCTGGCTGCAGTAGCAGTGCTATGGGTCTTGTACCCTTTCTTTCTCTGGGATCCCTGCTCACCACCTTCCTACAGAGATAACTTTAAAAGAAAAACATCATACCATTCCAAGGAATGGGGCCCTCCTCCTCCTCCCCTGCTAGGTGCCTGTCATCCACCTTTGCTGCCTCCTTTTGCGTGTCATGCTCAACAGCTTAGGGCTCCTGTCCAGATCCCTGAGCAGAGGACTAAAACCTCCACTGCAGGTTGGTTTTAGGTCTCAATTTATGTAAGAATCTTACACAGCATTGCTAATATCAGTTTTCCCTTCTAGGACACACTTACCAAAATATGCAACTTTTTTTTTTTTTTTTTTTTTTTGGTGGGAGGAGAGATTGTCCTGTGACTTCTACCCATTTCCTAAGGCCTGTGGAAATAAACCTTTATGTACTTAAAGTTATACAGAAAATAGAATAAAGTTAATACCAAACTTGCTTATTTACCTATGATATTTGATAAACAAAGATATAAAAATATTGAAAAGAAAAATAACACTAAGGATAAGAAATTACTCTTTATTTTAGACAACCTCATAAAATTTTCACATCCCACTTCTTGTCCTTAATCCTTATCTTTCAGTTGAAGAATAAGGCTTAAGAAAGGAAAAAGAAAACTTATAAAAGGTAAACCGCAGCACAAACAAGGTTCTTTCATGAAAACATCTTAATCATTTCTGCAGCTTGGCATTCTACAGAAGTTGTCCAGAAAATGTTGATAGGTCTTCATAGAGTGGGGGCTAAGACTTCCATGCTCAAATAAGGTAGAAAATGGTAGATTAATGGTTATTTTCCTTTACTATTCATTAGGAATTCTCAGTCCTTAGTCTGATGTGGGTTCATCTCAGAGAAGGAATATACAGTATTCTTCAAGTTTTGTCCTTCTCTCAAAGAACAGCTCAGTTTGGGATACGCTGGTAAATATGACTTGTGGGGTGGAAGTTAGAAAACCTGATCTCTACATTGTTCCTCCCATGCTCTGCTAAAGCCAGTATAGAGTAGTTACATCCAAGCCATTTAAGAAAGATGGAATGGAAAGAACCAGCTGCCTTGTTTTTATTTCCAATCCTGTTTTCTTCCTGGTCATACCCTACCCTGCCACTGTCTTTTAAGTTATGCAAGGTATACATTTCCTCTTTTAAGCAACCCAATTGGGTGCCATTTCCCTCTTTTTAATGACAAAGCAATTAATTCATTATTACCTTAGGAGACAGTGGTTTTATAGAGGCAAGATGGAAGGCCAGTGGAACCTGTCTAGTAATTGCTAAATACCACAGAAGGCAACATATTCAAAAGAGGAAAGCAGCCTTATCAAGCAATATTTTCCCAAGCACTAGTTAAATCTTCATGAGCACCTCAGGCCTGGGTAACAGCCTTCTACTTGCTTGAATGTGGCTAGATGTTGCCTTCAGAATCTCTACTGCTTTAGTTTGTTCAGTCACCTGTGTCTGGCACAATTTTGGCATTGATCTGCAGCAGACTCCCTTTCCTAAGACTTGAGCTTGACCACATTATAAGGTTGTAAAACAATCTCCATGGTTATTAGCTGATTAAACTTGAATTCAACACCATATGGTGATAGGAGGCAGCAAAGGATAAGATTCTGATCTTAGATCATTCCAAGTAAGGGATGTTAGATGATAACGAGAGAAGGATTAGTTGCAAGCTGGATCTGAGCTCAGGGTTGGGCATGAAGAACTGTTCCATGTAGTTTGGGAGAGCTAGGGACTCCCTGAGCTGTATTGTGAACTGCAGGGGCTTCATTTAAGGAAGGGTATGATGTGGGCATAAAACCATTCTTGAGACAGTTGAAGATGGTCCCCTTCTGTAGCCAGAAACACCAGCTGTCCAGCTTTGTCCATTTCCTTTAGCCCCAGGCGGTCCTGCAGAAAGAAAGGCATAATGAAAGGTTTAAGTACAGTAAAGTGACAATGTTCACTTGCTATATATTCTCAAAATGCATTTTTTCCCTTAGTACCTTAGAGGTGTACTATTATACTGGTTTCTTTTCGGCGGGGATGGTGGTTGCTGGGGATTGAACCCAGGGCCTTGTGCATGCTAGGCAAGTACTCTACCAACTGAGCTATATCCCAGGTGTATACTGTTTGAAAATGTCAAAAAGGACACCTCCTTCAGTTTTCACTAAGCATTAAATGCATGTGCAATTTGAAATTGTTTTATATAGCTATATTCTGTACCCCACCAACACCACCCCTGTGGTGCTGGATTTCTAACCCAGAGCCTCACACATTCTACTGAGCTACATCTCCAGCCCCAACATACCAAATTCCTTTTTCTTTTTTAGACTGGGTATTGGTGATTGAACCCAGGGGCATTTAAGTCACTGAGCCACATCTCCAGCCCATTTTATTTTTTGAGACAGTGTCTTGCTAAGTAGCAAAGGGCCTTGCTCAGTTGCTGAGGCTAGTTTTGAACTTGTGATCCTCCTGCCTCAGCTTTTGGAGTTGCTGGGATTATAAGCAGGTTGCTAAACATACCCAGTTCTTAATAACAATCACACATAATTGCGTCTGGCAGAGAAGATAAGTAGTTATGGCAGGGCCAAAATGGCGTTTCTTCATCAGATCCTAGCTGCCCTTTCTTCTACCTTACCCAGGCTGGAACACAAAAAGCAAGAGAAAAGCCAAGAGGATAAGATGGCCTTTGAAAAGTGTAAGAATTCTGTGATATGGTGATTGCATTTGTGAGAGATTCTGCCTCCAATATAAATCCCTTAGTGTGCATCAGGCCCATAATGATGTGAAATATTGCAGGTTCTTCTTAAGAAACAGACCTATTACTGAACAAAATTAACTCTATACCTGCTTGACCTACAGAAGGAGCTCTCTTCGTCAATGCCATCTTTATTGATATTTTGGTGCTGGGGACCAAAATCATAGCCTTGTACATGCTACATAAACATGTGCTCTGATCTATATCCTTAGTCCCCCAATGTTTAATTTAAAAACAGGATTTTTATGTCTGATTTTTTTTTTTTTTGAAAGTAGCTCTGTTCTGTTTTCATTTCTGTGGAGGCTTCTTGGATTTGTAGCAAAACCCACCTTACAAAGGAAGCCAGTTCCAAATCTTTTCTTCAAGAAGAAAGCCTTACCAATGTTGTTCTTGTTTTTGCTTGAAAACCATGAGACAGATCTTACCTTATGACCCAATGAATTTTGATAAGCCAGTGCCTAAGAAGCTAGTGCAATAATCATCCTACCAAGGCTTGTCCACATCAGACAGAAGTCAGATGGTTCCTTAGGCAGAGCAGGGGAAGGCTCTAGCACCACAGAACCCAGGAGCTTCAGGAACCAGAGATGAAAGATGATCTTTCTCTCCCAGTTACCTGTATGTATAGAGTTGTCTCTTGTAAGGGAATGGTTTCCTTGGCTTGGCCACTTCTATAAAATCCAAACCACTGCAGGAGGGAAAGAGGGAAAAAAAAAGGTCAGATACTCAGCACACACTGCCAAATTCATTTGAAACTGGCTACCATATCAACAAATATCACAAAGCTATATATGTAGCTAGCAAGAAGGAAAAATGGATAAGGGGATATCTTAAGTCACTTTGTTTTAAAGGTTAATCCTGAGGGATGAGTTAATCTTCTCAAAGAGCTTTCCTTCTCCTCAGAATTTCTGCTTCCTTTTCTTATTGTATACCAATCTTGAAAATCCCTGTGCTGAGGGCTGGGCTCAGCAGTAGAGTGATCACTTAGCACATGGGGGCGGGGCTCAGTGGTGGTGTGCTTGTCTGGCATGTATGAGGCGCTGGGTTCAGTTCTCAACACCTCATATAAATGAATAAATTGAATAGAGGTCCATCAATAACTAAGAAACTGTTTTGAAGGGGAAAAAAAAGATATTGTGTCCAACTACAACTAAAAGAAAACAAAATTTAAGAAAAAGAAAAATCCCTGTGCTGAACTCTAGCCATTCAAAGGTGAATATATGATCTCTTTTTCTAATAAGCTCCCAGTCTAGCAAGGAACAGAGACAATTCATTGTTTAGCAGAGGGCTGGCAAACTTTTCTTTTTATAAAGGCTAGATATAAAATGTTAAGAGCTGTATGTTTGGAACTACTCAGTGCTGCCATTTTAACACAAAAGCAGCCACAGATAATATACAGATAACAGCTGTATTCCAATGAAACTCCATTTATGGATTCGGAAATTTTACTTTCATGTCATTTTCACATAAAATATTCTTTTTAGTTTTTTTCCCAACAATTTAAATCTATAGTTCTTAGCTCACAGGTCATTCAAAACTGGCAGGCTGGATTTCGTCCTATAGGCCTGTTTGCTACCCACTGGTGGTCTGAGGCAATGTGAGGAGGGCTTTACTAGGGGCTGGTGTTGGGGATAAGAACACCTTCCTAGAGGAAGTAACATTTGCATTTGGCCTTGACAGACAAATAGGAGTTAAGACAAGACAGGAAAGAACATTCTAGAAATGAAAAAGCATGAGCAAAGGCATGCAAGAGGGGGAAAAGCTCAAGCCAAGTTTGGGGCATTTCAAATACTACAATATGGCTTGATCAAAAAAGTAAATGACATGAAGGGAGATGAAGCTGGAAAGATAGGTCAAAGCAAAATCAAGGCTACATTTAGGAATTTATAAATTCCTGAACCTTTTGGGGGTCATAGATCTCTGAAAATCTGACTAAAATTATAGACCCTTCTCCAGAGAATGCAATCACATACTCTTACATAAAATTCTGGGGTGGAATTCAGGATTACAACCAATTCAGTATTCATTTATGGAACTCAGAACCACTGCTCTGTACGGAAGTAGGTGGAGCTGGGGATGTACCTCAGTGGTAGTGTGCTTGCCTATATATATTAAAATCACCCTCAGGACTGGGAGTGTAGCTAAGTGGAATCTTGCCTAGCAAGCACAAGGCCCGAGGTTCAATCCTGAGCACAAAAAACAAAAACAGAACAAAATAACAACTAATGTACGTGGGGAGGACTAAAGGTTTTTGCCCAGTAGGCAGCTGTGTTTTAGTGCCACTCAGTCCCCTGGCATGCTCTGGCCTAAGTAGTACCTCACCTCAGAGTCTACAGGGTCCACAATGGAATCATTAAGGAATTTCACCATCACAAATGTCTTCAGGGCCATGAGGTTTTTTTTGTACGACTCGTTGACACTCTGGAAGAAAGGCCAGCAGCACCTCAGAATCATTACCATCACTTTCCAACAGAGGGATTAAAGCCTCTCAGTGCTTTGTCTTCCTGACCCTGGGCAACAGTTTCATTCCCATGAGCATGGCTGCTTTTCCAGCTTTCTGCCTAGATTATGCCCTGAGTAGCCTTTTTTTAACCATCTCATCCAATTGACATGCCACCAACCATGGCAAACAGGTACTATGATGAATCTATCCACACTATAGACATCAGTCCCATAGGTGAAAGGCTTCTTGCCAGAGAATGCCAAGGAAAAATAAACAGAAAATTCTGGGTTGTTCTTGTTATTCTGGGTTGTTTTCTATTTATTTTCCCCTTCAAATTTTCTGTTTAAAAAAACAATGAACGGGCTGGGATTGTGGCTCAGCGGTAGAGTACTCGCCTAGTATGGGTGGGACCCAGGTTTAATCCTCAGCACCACATAAGAATAAAGGCATTGTGTTGTGCCCATCTACACCTAAAAAATAAATTTTAAAATAAATAAATAATAAAATAAAAAAACAACGAAAACCCTCAAATGAGCCTAATAAAAATACAACCACCAAGTTACCAGAACCTCCAAAGTCATGCTCATGTCTGGGGCACACTCGGTGCCCTCTGCAGTGTTTCTACTAAGTTAATCTCTTTTCTGAGAAAATCTGCCCTAAAAGGTCCCACTAGGAAGATTCCCTCATGAAGACAGTAGGTATGAATTTCCATATAGCTCAGTCAGCAATCTACTGACCAAAAGGGAAAGGCCATTGGGGAGGAAGGCCTCATGAATTCTAGTCTCCCTGAAAGGAACTTCATCGCATAAGCACTGTCTCCCCGAAAACAGAACTTCTGATTCCTGGGTTCTGCCCAGGACAATTTGGGTAAATTGTTACTGCTCATTTGCATCTGATGCCCCCAAAAATGCCAAACTGGGAGCCCAGCTGGGTCCTTACCCGCTCCTGATTTATATCTGCCAAGAAGATGCTGTGATTGCGGTACACATCCTCCTTTATGGGATCATGCCAATATTCTGCTTGTACCAGGCTAGAGGGAGAAAAAGGAATAAAGGTAACTAAGCTGCCTGTCAACATGCCTCAGGCATATGCCAGTATAAAAGCCACCAAGAGGCTTCAAAAGGACAAAAGACCAGAGTCCCCACTTCTCAGACCTTATCCTCCAGTACAGAAGTCAAGACCTCTACCTACAGAACAGTTCATCGACAATACATCTTGCTGAGACAAAGATGGGATATTCAGCATGGTACAGAAAATCCAAAGGATTTAGGGAAATGGTTCATCAATATTTGATTCCTCTATGGCATTAAGCTTTATCACACTTAAGCCTTCCAGTCATGTTGGCACATACTGTCCTGTGCCACAGTCCCACGTCCCTTACTGTCCTTTGCATCCTACTCATCCTGCAAGACTCACCTCAAACATCACTTTCTGCCCCTTCTCCATCCAGTCATCTCTATCTCTTCATCTTGCCCTCCTCAAACTAGAATGGAGTGCTAACACATCCCAGTGAGGCTATCAGTAGTAGTAGTTAGAATGACATTCTATAATCTGTTTATAAATTTATTTGTATCCTTTAAATGTTTGGTTTCACTGATCTTTAAAAATTCAATGAACTCTGAACATTTATAAAATACTATTAGTACTGGTCTTGTCATTTTGTTTTAGTATTGCTGTTTCTTACATGTAGAAGTGGTCCTGTCTGTCCCCTACAGGAGCTACAGGGCCTTAAGCTCTGTGGCATACAAGAGATGCTTGGTGGTAAGGATTTGCTGAGTGAAATGGACTGAACTCTGAAAGAAGCTGCCACTGAAAGAGGGTTAGGATTAAGAGGTGTGAGGAGGACTGGGATTGAAGCTCAGTGGTAGAGCACTTGCCTAGCATGTGTGAGACACTGTGTTCAATCCTTAGTACCACATAAAAATAAAAAATGTATAAATATAAATATATATAAAACCCAGCAGCTCAGGAGGCTGAGGCAAGAGGATTGTGAGTTCAAAGCCAGCCTCAGCAACTTAACGAAGCACTAAGCAACTCAGTGAGACCCTGTCTCTAAATAAAATAGAAAAAAAAAGAACTGGGGATGTGGCTTAGTGGTTGAGTGCCCAAGTTCAATCCCTGGTACCAAAAAAAGGTGGCACACACCAGGGAGGCTGAGACAGGAGGATCATGAGTTCAAAGCCAGCCTCAGCAAAAGTGAGGTGCTAAGCAACTCAGTGAGACCCTATATATAATAAAATACAAAATAGGGTTGGGGATGTGGCTCAGTGGTTGAGTGCTGGTCAATCCCTGGTGCCAAAATAAATAAATAAATAAATAAAGCGGTGGGAGGAGAGGGGAGGCCAACATAGTTAGAAGAACAAGGGGGAGAGGCAGCTTCAACAGTGGGTGGGAAAACTATCCCAATGACTTTGGAAACTAAAGTAGGAGGACTCCAAGTTTGAGGCCAGCCTGGGCAATTTTGTGAGCATGACCAAGTTCCTGAGTTCAATCCTCAGTAGTGTGCGCGCACACACACACACACACACACACACACACACACAAATACAAAAAAAGTGGGTGGACAACACACCTCTCAGAAAGGTGACCACTCTTGGCTTACACAGACACTATAAGGGAATGAACACAAAGGTCTTTGGATCTTGCAGGCAAGGTTTCTGGTGACCCAGAATTCCAGTGAGCGAGGCCTGATGGTTGAGGATGAAAAAAAGAGTAAGGATGGTAGCGGCTTCGCTCACTGGAATTCTGGGTCACCAGAATTTTTGCATGAAAAGGAAACAGAGTCATGAAGGGGCAAGGACATTTTGTTTTGTGAGAATCTGGAGTAGCCAGGCGCAGTGGCACTATAATCCCAGCAGGTCAGGAAGCTGAGGCAGGAGGATCCCAAGTTCAAAACCAGCATCAGCAACTTAGCAAGAAATTTAAAAAATTAAAAAGGGGCTAGAGAATGTGCTCAGTGGTTAAGCATCCCTGGGCTCAATCCCTGGTACCAAAAATAATAATAAATCTTGGTGCAAAGAGTGAAGGGAAGGCCTGAGGATGAGTAGGAGCTACAGGTGCTCACAAGGTGGGGCACCAAGGAGGTGGAGGTTCCAAATGCAAAAGGCAGATGGAAAAGGAACACAGGTTTGTACTCGTCTCATCTCCTTGTACTACTGAAGGAACACATTCAGACAGGCCAAGTAATAAACTACATAGCTGAAGTGAATGAAGTTAAGGTAAGAGCTTGAGGGGCTGGGGTTGTAGCTCAGTGATGGAGCGCTTGCCTAGCACATATGAGGCACTGGGTTCAATCCTCAGCACCACATAAAGTTAAATAAAATAAAGGTATTATGTCCATCTACAACTAAAAAATATACAATTAATTAATTAAAAGAAAAAAGATGAGAGCTTGAACCATCAAGTCCACACTCTTGCCAATGCACCATGCTCAAGGAACAGGAAAGGACAGCTCCCCAGGCCAAACTTATCAGACACAGGCTAAAGCCTGCAAGACAAGTCTTTGCCACTTGGGCTGGGGATGTGGTGCAAGCGGTAGTGCACTCGCCTGGCATGCGTGCGGCCCGGGTTCGATCCTCAGCACCACATACAAACAACCATGCTGTGTCTGCCAAAAACTGAAAAATAAATATTAAAAAATAATTCTCAAAAAAAAAAAAAGGTCTTTGCCACTTGAGACATGCTCTAGCCATGTGGATTAGAGATAATAGTAATACTTGTATAACATTTCCCATACCAGGCTTATTCTAAGCTCTTTAGCTATAGTAACCTATTTAATCCTCCTATGAATTCCATGGGGCAAATTCTATTATTATCCTCATGTTTCCAAATAAGACAATGATATTCAGAGAGATTGAGGAACCTCGCCAGGATCAGACTACTTGTAAGCACAGAGCCAGAGCAGAAACAGGCAGTTTAGCTCCAGATGTCCTGCTCTTCACCACTCCCCTCCACTCTCTTCTGTATATGGGATATAGACAGTACTAGCAGATGTCCCACAGACTTGGGATGGAATCAGGTTTTTACCTGTCTGAGTTTATAAAAATTAAACAAGGAAAGGTCTAGTGCTATATCCACCCAAGGTATAAAATCAATATAAGATAGTGATATTAGATCTGTTGTCATTCTCTTTTGCTCTTTTTCTCCCCTATCCTGAGTTGAGCTATCAGTACAGATGTGGTTCACATTGAGACATGCTGCTCAAGGGCCCAGCTTGAGAGGTAAGAGCCTGAAAGAGGGAGAGCAAAACGCACAGGAAGGTGTGTTGAGATGATATAAAAACTCACTAAGGAAATCCAACTGAAATACTAAGGTGAGTTTTGGTTTTTGTTTGTTTGTCTTTTAATTCTGTAGTACTCAAAATCAAACCCAGGGCCTTGCACAAAACTAGGCAAGCACTCTACCACTAAGCTCCAGTACCCTTAAGATTTCTGGTGGAATCTGACAAAATAATTCTAAAATTCAGATGAAACAATAAAAGCCCAAGAATAGCCAAGACTTGAAGAGTTAAGTAAAAGTTGCTATAGTAACTAAAATGGTGTGGTAATGAGGTAGCAATAGACAAATGAATCGGACAGAACAACCCCAAAACAGACTCAAGAATAGAACACACAGGAGGTAGACGAAAAGCATAAGAGTAAGAAATAAAATTCAAAAGAATTAGAGGAAATTATGGAATAGAAAAATAGCTTTATGCATTAATCATAAAGATGGATAAATTTGACTATATCCAAATTAAAAGCCGCTGTACTGGTTTATGGCTGTACAACAGTGTGAGTAGAATTAATGCCACTAAAAATGGTTAAAATGGAACCCGGCACAGGTTGCACATCAGTAATTCCAACTACTAGGGAGGCTGAACCAGGAGGATTGTTGAGTTCAAGACCATCCTGGGCAACAAAGTAAGACCCTATCCCCCTGCCTCCTCCAAAAGAAAGATTAAAAGACAAATCTTAGGTTAGATATATTTTACCATGACTTAAAACAATTAAAAATATACCAAAAAACAATATATACATACATTAAATGGGTAAATTATAAGTATTTTATTTATATCTCAATAAAACTGTTAAAAAACAAACCTGGGGCTGAAGGTATAGGTTAGTGGCAGAGAGATTGTGTTTGCATGCAGGAGGCCCTGGGTTCAATTCCCAGCAGCACAACAGCCAAAAAACACAAAACCTGCTGCACCAAAAGGCATCATAAACTAAATTAAAAGATGCCACAGGCTGGGAAGAGGTAAGTGTAACATATTAAAAGTCTTAATATTAAAAAAAAAAGGTGGGGCTGGGGTTGTGGCTCAGTGGTCCAGCACTTGCCTAGCATATGTGAGGCACTGGTTTGATTCTCATCACCATAAATAAGTGAATAAAACAAAGGTCTATCAACATCCAAAAAAACATTTTTTTTAAATTGTTTATATATGATACAAACCAATGGAAAAAAAAAGACAACCCCCACCCCAACAGGAAAATAGGCTAAGGCTATGAATAGGCAATTCACAGGAAGGGAAACCAGAGTGACCAATAAACATGAACAGATGTTCGACCTGACAGACAATCAAAGACTTGCAGATCAGGATAGTAACCATTCCATGTACATTTGATTGGCAAAAATTTAAGACATAGGATCAAAAATTAATAAGAGCAGTAAAAACAGGAACTCTCATTCTCTGTTGGTGGAAATAAAATTTGTACAGCCATTTTGTCAATATTGACTAAAGTTTAAATTGCACATTTTAACAATCACTGTCATGGGGCTGGGGATGTGGCTCAACCGGTAGCGCGCTCGCCTGGCACGCGTGCGGCCTGGGTTCAATCCTCAGTACCACATACAAACAAAGATGTTGTGTCTGCCGAAAACTAAAAAATAAATATTAAAAATTCTCTCTCCCTCTCTTTCTCTCTCTCTTTAAAAAAAAAAAACATTAAAAAAAATCACTGTCATAATAGCAGATGACATACACTGAGTATTTTCAAGTACTATTCTAAGCACACTATATCTATTACCTCATTTAATCTTCTCTACAAC